ACGCCGCGTCGCCGATGCATCGTCGATGTGGCTCGATGTGGAGCCCGATTTGCTTCACGTCGACGTCGCCGATGCATCGCTCACGTCGACGATGCGGCGCGATCCTCCGACCCCATCTACTCCGACCCCATCTAGGAGCTTTCCAAGGTTACCCTTGCAGCCTTCCCCTTCGGCCTGTCCTTGGCCGCTTTTGCTGGCCGCGCCCCGCTCGCAAAGTGTCGACATGCTCTTCCAAGGCCCTTGTATCCTTACCGTGCGTCCTTATTATACGGGTTGACTGTACGCATAGGTGGGACGGAGGGAGCTATGAGTGCGTGTTTTCGGATAGGGGTCCCCGCTAGAACGGGAGCCTCCCACGGGGTCCGACAGCCCGCACCCATACCCACAGCCAGCCCTTCTTCCTCCGACCCTCCTATGGGTATGGGCGCGTGCTGTTCGCTCGTCACGAGGCTCGATGGATGGAAGTTTCTGGAAGTTTCTGGAAGTCGTCGGGCTCTTTTGTGGCTCTGGGAGCTCGTCGCCGCGGCCGGAGTGCTGGTCAAAATGTACCCCGGGACAGGTCTGGAGATCGGTTTTGTACCACCGATCCCAGACTGCCAGTAGTCGCCATGGAGGAAAAAGGGTCCTCGGGAAAAGCGGTCTTGCATTCTGTTTCATCGTTTTCGGGCTCCTGGGGCCCTTGGTGGATCTTGGGGCCGTCAGAGAACGGCTCACAATGAAAAGCTGGTCCTTGACAAACCCCTGGGGTCGAGGATGTGATTTCTCCAGGAACCATTTCCCTCATGGCAGTCCCTCCCTCATCCCATTCAGGACGCTCAGGTGGGGCCAGAGCAGGTGGGATCGGAGTGCGTCGTTCAAATCTTTTTCGTAATGTCGAGAAGAGGATACTCTTGTCTGATCGACCGTAGCATGTACCATAATGGCTGCGGCAAACGAGCGAGAGCGAGAGGAGCAATCAGAGAGTATGATAATGAAATGCCAGCTGTGGGCACCGCAAGCTTTAGACGGGGAAGCCGCTTTCCTCCTCGAGCACGTACAGCAGCCCGTACTCACAGTCTCGCAAGGACCAGTCGGAGCACCTGAGATCAATCGCGTCGTCTTCGTCGTAGATGATAGGATTGCAGTCCCTGGTCACGCCATCGTTCAGGATGTCTCGGCGTCCCGATGCCAGCCCCTTCTCTGCTGACATGCAGGTCTCGCCGTTTGCCAGCCGCCGGTAGCCGCTCGTGAGAAAGTCGATCGGCACGCCCCGAGGCTCGGCGCTGCCGGTGGTGAGCCCGTCGGCTGGCACGGCTGCTGAGCCAGCGCATGGTGGTTTTGCTGGAGGCCATGCTCTGTCGCAGTCCGAGGGCCTCGATCCCACTCCGACGATCATCTGCTCCTAGACCTGCGCGGACGTTGGCCACCACGGCGTTGTAAAGGCCTGCGTCACTCGGCCATGGCTAAAATGAACCGTCCTTGAGATTTCCCGTCACGTCGTACAGCCCAGGCCGCATCATGAAACGTAACAAACAGGATCGCGCAGTGGGGCGGTAGGTCACCACGATACTGCCTACCTCGTGGGCGGTCCTCACATTCTAGTTCATCCTCTGCACCGTGCCGTACGTTCAGGTAGGAGGCCGTAGTGCTCGTGTCTGCGGCGATGAGCCCCATACCTTGACTTGCCAAGTACTGTAGGCCACCGATGGCAGCACGGCATGCGGTGTGGCTGGCATGGGGGAGCTCGTCCTAGAGCTTCCCGTTGGGAGGTTTCTGCCAGCCCTCGATCATGTTCACCTTCTTGGCGGCCTTGCCGAATGACTGCTGGATCGTGCCGCCGGCAAGCTGAGTGATCTCGAGCCCTATTGGATCAACTTGTCAGCTTCCCACTGACCTCAGTTCCAGAAATCATTGAGCTCCTTCAGCTTCTGGTTGGCCAGGGTGTTGTCCTTGCTGATGCCCATGACCATGTCGTCGTCCACGTGAGCGAATGCAATGCCAACGATCTGCTGATTGTCGTACAGGATCCACAGGCAGGGCTCCAGCTCCATAGGCACCCAGCCAGCAGATGACATCTTTGACGAGGTCTCGTCGAACCATTCCTTCGGAGCGTCGCATAAGCCGTAGGCTTTCTTGAGTAGCATGACCGCCTCGTTGTCCTTGAGCTTCATCGCATCTCGAAGCGTCTTCACGGGCTCCACGAGGATGTCTGTCGGGGAGGATTGGGACTGGAGGAAGGCGGCCTTTAGGTCCCCCCTGTAGAGCCTGAGCTTCAAGTTGACGCACGCTTGAAGAGCCAAGTTGCGCCCTTGAGCAGAGATGGTTTGGGTAGCGGCTCGAGCGCATTCGCAAGGGATTCTTGTCCAGTTTCTCGCAGGGTGAGCTTCGTCACTTTGCTGGCTGGGCAGCTGTAGACCCCGTTCGCCTCAACCTCGCGGAAATGTTCTCGCAGACCAAAGTTCGTGCTCCTCATCTTGATCTCGGGACTCTTTCGGATAGCCGCTGCTGCCCGAGCCGTCAGATCTCGCTGGAACCACGTGCTGCTCTTGGACTGCATGTCATGAGGTTGCTCGGGAGTCCTTGTGAACACCTTCTCCTGGCCTGTAACGTTGGTCAGGGCATTGTGCCAGCTCATGTGCTCATGTCGGACACGCTGACTGTGTGGTAATTCGATGTCCTCGTTACTGGCAGCACGCTTGAGGTTCTGGTCGTGACGGTTCTGCCTCATGCTCGTGGGCACGTCGTCCATGTGGTCGTGTTTCTCCTGTATCTTTGGAGGTTCCTGAGACCGTAGGGGAATTGGTTGCACCACAGGTTCCTCAGGAGCAGGCTCACCGAGGGCCTGGCCTACCAGTAGGGTATGAGGGTTGGCCTCGTCCAAGGGACTCAGATAACGAGGAACAGGTTGAGCTGGCAGGTTGGCCGAACTTATTGGGGCTGGTGAAGGCGCACAGGAGGGCACGCCTGGAGGTCCACTGGGCCTGAGGATATCCAGCTTCTTGAGCAGGCTCAAACTCCACGCTGTCCGTGTCCAGACTCTCCTCGCCAGGTGTTCCAGCTCCGCGTAATCAGGTCTTGTGCCGTATGGAGCCTGTCGATCACTGCTTCCATCTTGCTGGACAGGAGTCGGGCGGTCTCGGTATCCATCCCGTGCAACGTCGTCTCCGCCTCGGAAACCATCCTTAGCTGCTGCGGGATCGCCTTGAGTGAGTATGTGACCACGGTAGACCAAGATAACAACATTACGATGACGACCCTCCTCAGGGTCACGGAGATGGGAGAGCACCACGGCAGGCCCAATAATGACACCTTTGGAGCTCTGTGTGGTCTTGGTGCGGTCCGTGGTATCTGGCTCCCGCCACACAACGACCAGCTCGCCGCACTCGCAGATCTTGTGGGAACGGTTCCTGGCCAGCCTGGCTGGCCTCAGCTTTTTGTCAGCCTGAGTCCCCGCGTAGGACTGCCTGGCCCTCATGCGCCGTCTCATGCAGATCTCAGCGGGAGCTCTGAGTCTCCGCCTCGAGTTGGTGCACCGTGCCGTGCAGCTCGCTGTCCAGAGGTCGTGGCGCGCGTCCCCGGACACTGGCGTCGGGGCTGACCCCAGAGCTGCTTTACATCCCGTTGTGGGCCTCGCTGGCCCAGTTGAAGAGCTCTTTCACAGGGCTCGTGTGGTCCAAGGAGGCCGTGCAAGTAGCTGCCTAGGGATGATGCCCTGCATCGCTGTCATCCTTCCTCTACCTACGGATCTCTTTCGGACGGACGGTTAGGCCTTTCGGCTCCTCACCTCCGTTCACAGGAGGAGGAGGAGGAGGAGGAGGAGGAGGAGGAGGAGGAGGAGGAGGAGGAGGAGGAGGAGGAGGAGGACAAGTAGGCGGAGGAGGAGGAGGAGGAGGATGAGGAGGAAGAGGAGGAAGAGAAGGAGCGTTCAGTCCTTAATACTGAACGTGGTGGGTGACGAGCCTTTTTTGCTGGGCTTGTTGGACTTTCTGGGGAGGCCTTTTGGGGCTTCTTCTTGGCCTCTCGGGCCTCCTTGGGGCATTTTGGGACAGAAAGCTCGAAATGTCCGTTCGAGTGCGCGATCTCGGTCCTGTCCAGGAGCCGTCCTGGGGGCCTCTCGGCCCGTCCTGGAGCCCGCTTGGGCGGTCTGGGGCCCTCTTGGGACGTTTGTGGGCCCTCTTCGAGAGCTCTTGAGTCGTCTCAGGGTGGTCTTAGGAGCGATCTGGGCCGTCAGGGAGCGTCGAGAAACTTAAAAGGCTATCGCGCCCCAGTCCTTCAACAACTAATTGCGAATCAATGATGGTTGCCTCTTGGTGCCCTCCTGGGAGGCCTCTTGGAGGCCTCTTGGGGCATGTCGTCGGCATCTTGGGCCGTCTCGAGGCCATCTGGGGCCGTCTTGGAGCGCTCTTGGCCTCAGGACTTGGGGCCTGCCACCTATTTGACGTATCCTTGGGCCGCTCCTGGATTGTTCCGGAACCCCCCAGGGCCCCGCCCAAGAGATCTGGCATCTTTGGCGGATCCGTGCTGGGGATTTGCCGGGACATTCCCGGGTTATTTGTCGCTCTGGGACCCCCATGGCCGCCACGCGCGCGCTGTTGTGAACTTGGTACCTGAGATTTTGGCACCTCCTGGCTCGTTGGGCCAGCGGATTGCCTTAACGCCCGTAGCATGTGCCAGAATGACTGCGGCAAACGAGCGAAAGCGAGAAGAAAAAGCGAAGAGGTATCGCGATGAAATACAAGCTGTGAGCACCGCGAGCTTTCGAGTCGTGATCCAGAGCCCAATTTTCTCCATGCCGCATCACCGATGCATCGCTGATGTATCGGCAACGCGAGCGATTTTCCCACCCCGTGTGCTCTTGCCCCAGTTGTGTTGCCTCCATCCTCCTTTCCTTCTCCCTTCCGTGAATTCTCCACTCCGCGTGCGTAGTTTCTTGGACGCGGCTCGCCCAGGATGCACCCAGCAATAGCTTTTAATTTCGCGTTTCGAGCTTTGACGTGCGCGTGAAGCACCTCTGTCCAGGTTTGGGCGGTCACGCGACGCCGCTGGAGGCCGCCTTGCGATTCGAGGCTGGCTGCTTCCTGGGCACCCCCAGCTTTCAGGTGGGCGACTGAGCCGAAGCCGTCCCGCTCACGCTTGCGCGCGCCCCGGCCGCTGGCTTCCTATTGAGGGCTGCGATGGCGCGCCAGTCGGGGTACGATCGCCACATCTGGAAGGACAGAAAACTGGACAGTTACACTTTCAGAGGTTCGCGCGGATTTCTGGGGTCTGTTTTGCAGCTCCGCGACCAAATGCGAACACTGCCCCTGCTGGTCCAATCGACGCTGGGATACCGCGCGCCCCTGCTGGGGTTCACTTCGCTGCAGGTATCCTTCGAATTCTGACCCCCAGCCGTTTTTTCAGAAATCTCACTTGCAGTGGTAGGGCTCACATGTAGTTGCCTACCAACGCCGACCCACCCAACGACTCCTCGCGGACCTTCGAAAGTAGCAGCTTTTTGGGCCTTCCAACGTCACCATCTTCTCCCCCGAGGGACGTCTGCACCAGGCGGGGGCCTCGGCTGCCAGATGCCGCTGCACTTTCCGCTTGGGTACGTCGTGATGTCCGGGCGTCGTCTCGAGGCCGCCAGTTGGTGGCCAGATCGGATGTCGTGCGCTGCATCTTCCTGAGGCATTCCTTTTGCACCGCAATTCCTCGTCCTCTTCCTCTTCCTCATCCCTCGTCTTGTGTGATTTCCCTCTGGACGTAAGTTGTGTCAGATGCGATCGATCTTCTTTCCGCCCGGTCTGGGCCTGAGGGCGTTCGCAGGCACCAACAAGCACGTGCGACCGCAGCAACACGCACCTGCGCATCGTTTTGCCCAGACGGCTTTTTTTGAACCTTTCCAAGAGCCTTCACTGTGCATGCGGAGACCTTTGATCCATGCCCGGGCGACAGACTTGGGAGAAGCAAGTCTGGACTGGAGCTGGGCCTACTGCCCTGCGGCGCTTCCCTGTGCATCTTCTGCTTCGGTGCGCGAGCTCGTCCTGGCCTTGTTCCGCTGCCCGCGGCTCAAACATCACATCAACGCATCAGAGTGCGGGAGAGGCAGAGGGGTCGACATATCTTCTCAGGGAGGCGTTCCTATTCTTGCTGCGGGCGGCCAAGCGAATCCACTGCATGGCATGCCTCATTCTCCGCGATCGTGTCGGTGCGATTTGCGGCGGGGTTTCGCCTGAGACGGAGAGCGGTTTTCTCCAGGAAGCCCCCCAGGTCGAGTATGCCTTCCAGGCGGTCAAGAAGAGCCAGAACATGACCTCGGTGGCGCTGCGCGGAGACGACAGCGTGGTCATGGTGACGCAGAAGAAGGTGCCCGACAAGCTCATGGACGGCAGCTTCCACACGCATCTCTACAACATCACCCCAGATATCGGCTGCTGCATGACTGGCATGTCCGCCGACGCGAGGGCCTTGGTGTTGCAGGCGCGCGAGACTGCCGCCAAATTCAAAGACGAGAACGGCTACCCAATTCCGGTGCACTATCTGACCCTGAAGATCGCAGACAGGAATCAGCTCTGGACGCAGAAGGCGTACGGCAGGCCAGTTCTCGAGAGCCACCCCTCCCTGTCGCTCCTCTCGTATCGCATTCATCTCCTCGTCGAGCCACTGAGAATATCGGAGCTATGATACTCAGTGTCATTCTGTCGGGTCCTGCCCCTTCTCTTCCCACACCGTCCTGCCCCGTCCCGTCTCCGCGCCGTCTCGCCCCGTCGCGTCCCTTCTCCTTCCCCTTCCCTCGCCTCCGGCTCTGCTCCCGGAGGTGAGGGGTTAGAGGGAACGCGGGGTCGCCGGATCGTCGGGTCGGGCTCCTCGGCCTATGGCAAGCCGATGCGCGAGCTTCGGACGGCCACCCCCTCCCCTCGCCTGCCCCCCCGCCCCTTTGTTCTCCGCTTCCTTTCCACCCTCCCCTCCCCTCTCCTTCCCTCCCGTCTCCACCGTTCTCCTTTTACCCTCGCTATCTTTTGCCAGTCCCCCTTACCTTCCCTGTTCCGTCTCGCACGGAGATGCCCCAGCCAGGTTGCGACGTAGTCGAAGGGACAAGAGTCTTGGCGAGAAGACGACGATAGCACGATCGGGTATAGGTACACTTGGAGTTGGAAAGGTAGCGTGCGATGTGGCGCCGCCGGCTCGCTTTTTCTACGCTATCTCCCACCCTGGGGACAGCGTGCACCGAAGAAGCCCTAGAAAGGGGAATACCGTGCTCAGAAGGGGCGTTCGCGCAGGGATCCCCTCAGGGATAGCGTGCTTCTCGGAGATCGATGTTGCATGTTATCTTTACAAGACCAACCGTCAGCATATCTCTCAAAGTCAGAGTGTTGGCACGGGTGTGCTCTGCTAATGCCCCTGGCGGTTGCGGTAGGCTCGCGCCGCGTTGACGCGGCGTCGACGCTAGCCCACGCGCGCGCTCGTTAAATGTTCCGGCGTAGTCGCAATGTGGCTCTCTATCTCGGCTGCCGGAGAGCGGCGATCACTGAGTGATCTACTCACGGGTCAGGGGCAACGTTTGGGGGGGATCGTTTCAGGGGGGGGGGCCGACCCTTCGTCGCCCATGGATCGCCGATAGGGGCCCGATAGCCCCGCCCCGCCCAAGACCGTGCGGATGCGCTATCAGATGCATATCGCCGATCTATCGGCGACGTATCGCCGATTCAAGCTCGCTGTTTCGCCCCCTGGAGCTGGTCCCCCCCCACGTTGCCCCTCAACGGAGCGATCAGGAAAGCGGCCTGCCTTTGCAGCGATCCCGGCTGTCGGACAGCGGCGATCTGTGAAGGTTGCACGATCCGCGCGGAGGCGAGTCAGGAGGACTATCCGCCGCGCCACGGTTGGCGCGGCGAGACTTCAAGTCGAAGCTGAGGACGTCCCTCTTATTATCCCCATTCGCGCGGTGTCAGAAACCAACGCCCACGTCCTCGCGACGCGAAGCTGCCGCAGTGTCCCTTGACGCTCATCCGCCTCGACGTCGCCTCTCCGCTCCACCTCGGCAGTACTCGCGTGCCCGACTCCAGCCCGAGCGTTGCGGCCGAGGCGCCCCGGTCTTGCCCTCCTCGCTCAACCAGTCGCCCTGCGGACCCGCGAGGCCCTTTGGCATCAGCACCATGTTCTGCTCCATAGACGACGAAAAGGGCCCCTCGCTCTACCAGGTCGACCCGGCGGGCAACTACTTCGGCTACAAGGCCTGCGCCGCAGGCACGAAGGATGTGGGGGGCGCGGCCAAGCGGAAGGCGTCGAGAGTGCGGGGCACATCGAGAGGTCTCGGCGCATTCGCTCGGAGGAAGAGGGGGGAGGAGCACTTTCAAAGAAATTTCAGTGGTCCCTCAAAACAACCTCTTCATTCCTGCCTGACCCCCGCGTCGCAGCACTTTTCCCTTCGCCCGTAGGCTGGAGGTGGCTGGCAGTCTGGCGTGATGGCCGCCCTTGGCCAACCGCGGAGAAAAGAATTCGTCACGGATGACAAGGCTTATTGGGCGGAGGATCGTATTTGAGAATGCAGATGGGTGCGGCAGTTCGGCCAACCCCTCCTGAAACCTTCCTGAGGAAGGCTTTAGACATTTTTTTTGATGTTTCCTTCCAGAACTGTCCAAGAACCTTCCTGAGGAAGGTTGCAGGAAGGTTTTTTTTTATGAGGAATCCTCCAAACACCTTCCTAAAACCTTCCTCAGGAAGGTTATGTATGGGGTGGAAGATATAGCCAGGGTGCAGTATCCCCAAACAGGGTTTTTAAACCCACAGGCGTCGGATGTCTGGGGAGGGCGGAAGGCAGGGCGCGCATGACGGATGCTGAGGCGGCAGAAACGACGACGGCGGGGACGGGGAGGCGGAGGCAGAGGCGCAGCAGCGGGAGGCGGGAGGCGGGAGGAGGGAGGAGGGAAGAGGAGCGGGAAGAGGGAGGCGGGAGAAAGAATGAGAGAGGTTGTGATTGGAGCCCCTGTGCTACGACACGTCTCAGGCAGAACGGGCCAGACCATCTCGCGCACAACATTTTAGAGCTTCGCATTGTGAGGATGGCTCAAGCGAAACGGGCCGGACCACCTCGCGAGCGACATTTTGGAGCTCAGTATTGGAAGGATGTCTGAAACGAAACGGGCCCGACAACCTCTCGCACACGTTCTGACAAGTCCACGTCACACTCGCTTCCCGTTAGGTCCTCTCCTGCAACTCCCTTCCTTCTCCTTCCTCCTCCTCCTCCTCCTCCTCCTCCCCCTCCTCCTGCCTGCTCCCTCATCCACATCCTCCTCCTCCTTCTCCCTTCCATCTCCTCCTCCTCCTCCTCCACCTCCTCTTCATCCCGAACGGCATCTCGGAGCCCAGAGTTGCGAGGATGTCTACAGCGTAACGGGCTAGACCACCTCGCGCGCGGCATCTCGGACCCCAGAGTTGCGACGATGTCTCGGGCGAAAAGTGCTGCGAGGAAATCTCAGGCGAAACGGGCCAGACCACCTCGAGCGCGGCGTCTCAGAGCTCCGAGTTGTGGGGGCCTCCTGGGGACCTGGGGGGGATATCTAACATGTGGCCGTCTGGGCCCCCCAAAATGCGGGGGGCCACACGAGCACGAAAAATCAACGAATCGACACCGGATGTGTATTGACTTGACACGTTCTGATAGCGGGCCTCCTGGGGCCTCCTGGGAGCCTCCTGGGAATCTCCTGGAGACCCCTGGGGCCTGTCCTGGGCGTCCTGCGGCCTCCTAAGCTCTCTGGGGCCTCCTGGGGCTCCCAGGGTCCGAGAGGGGATATGTAACATGTGGTCTTCTGGGCCCCCCGGCTGGACCACCTCTTGCGCGGCATCTCGGAACTCAGACTTGCGAGGATGTTTTGTGCGACACGGCATCTCAGAGCTAGAGTTGCGAGGATGTCTCAGGCGAGACGGGCCGGACCACCCCGCGCAGGGCATTTCAGAGCTCAGAGTTGCGAGGATGTCTCAGGCGAAACGGACTGGACCACGTCGCGCGCGGCATCTCCGAGGTCAGAGTTGCGAGGATGTCTCAGGCGAAACGGGCTGGACCACCTCCTGCGCGGCAGCTCAGAGCTTACAATTTCCAGGATGTCTCCGGCGAAACGGGCCAGACCACCTCGCGCGCTGCATCTCAGAGCTCAGAGTTTCTAGGACGTCTCAGACGTAACGGGCCGGACCACCTCTCGCGCGGCATCTCGGAATGCAAAAGTGCGAGGATGTCTCAAGTGAAGCGGGCCGCGCGCGGCATCAGAGAGCGCAGAGTTGCGAGGATGTCTCAGGCAAAACGGGCCGGATCACCTCGCGCACGGCATCTCAGGGCTCAGACTTTGGAGGATGTCTCAGGCGCAACGGGTCGGACCACCTCTTGCGCGGCATCTCGGAGCCCGGAGTTTCGAGGATGTCTCAGGCGAAATGGGCTGGATCACCTCTTGCGCGGCATCTCAGAACTCAGAGTTGCGAGGATGTCTCAGGCGAAACGCGCCGGACCACCTCGCGCACGGCATCTCAGAGCTCAGAGTGTGGAGGATGTCTCAGGCGAAACTGACAACCTCTCGCGCGGCATCTTGGAACTCAGAGTTTGGAGGATGTCTCAGGCGAAACGGGCCGGACAACCTCTCGCGCGGCATCTGGGAGGTCAGAGTTTGGAGGATGTCTCAAGCGAAATGGGCTGGACCACCTCTTGCGCGGCATCTCAGAACTCAGAGTTGCGAGGATGTCTCAGGCGAAACGGGCCGGACAACCTCGCGCACGGCATCTCAAGGCTCAGAGTGTGGAGGATGTCTCAGGCGCAACGGATCGGACCACCTCTTGCGCGGCATCTCGGAGCCCAGAGTTTCGAGGATTTCTCAGGCGAAATGGGCTGGACCACCTCGCGCACGGCATCTCAGAGCTCAGAGTTTGGAGGATATCTCAGGCGAAACGCGCCGGACCACCTCGCGCACGGCATCTCAGAGCTCAGAGTGTGGAGGATGTCTCAGGCGAAACTTGCCGGACAACCTCTCGCGCGGCATCTGGGAACTCAGAGTTTGGAGGATGTCTCAGGCGAAACGGGCCAGGCAACCTCTCGCGCGGCATCTGGGAGGTCAGAGTTTGGAGGATGTCTCAAGCGAAAGGGCCAGACCACTTCTTGCGCGGCATCTGGGAACTGGGAATTTGGAGGATGTCTCACGCGAAACTCCCAATCCAGGACAACTCAGAAGCGAGAGTTGCGAGGATGTCTCAGGCGAAACGGTCCGGACCACCACATTTTTTTTGAGGACGTCTCTGCTTTGATTTCCCGCGGCCGGAGTTAGCTTCTATCACAACAGCACCCCGTTCAGCAAGCTGTTCGGGGATAAACCATCCTAGAACCTTCCTCAGGAAGGTTGTTCACAGGGGTCTGGAGCTTCCCTTAGGAAGGTTTGTAGGAGGATTCCCCCGAAAACCTTCCGCCAACCTTCCTGAGGAAGATTTCAGGAAGGGTTTTTGGAGGATTCCTCCAAAAACCTTTTCAACAGCCTTCCCGAAGAAGGTTTTGGCAGGGCTTTTGAGGATTTCATCAAACACCTTTCAAAACCCTTCCTGAGGAAGGTTGGAAGGTTTATAGGAGGAATCTTCAAACAACCTTTCAAATTCCTTTCTGAGGAAGGTTTTAGGACGGTTTTTTTTTCGAAGGATTCTTCCAGAAACCTCCCAACAACCTTCCAATCACCTTCCTGAGGAAGGTTTTAGGAAGGTTTTTACGAGGGTTCCTTTCAACAACCCTTCAAACACCTTCCCGAGGTCAGAGAACCTTTCAAAAACCTCCTGGAGGAAGCTTTTAGGACCGTTTTTACGAGGATTCCCCTAACAACCTTCCAACAACCTTTCGCAGGAAGGTTTTAGGAAGGTTTTAGGAAGGTTGTTAGGAAACAGCGTGCCACCAACCTTTCAACAACTTCCAGCAACCTTTCGAACACCTTCCTGAGGAAGGTTTTAGGACGGTTGTTGTGAGAACTCCTTCTGGAGGAAGGTTTTAGGACGGTTTTAACACACCTTCCAACAACCTTACTCAGTAAGGTTTCAGGAAGATTTTTAGAAGGATTCCTTTCAAAATCCTCTAAAGCCTTCCGGAGGAAAGTTTTAAAATTGTCATTCGGAGGAATCCTCCAAACACCTTCCCAAAAACCTTCCACGGCAGCTTTTAGAAACAGTTTTTAGGAGGATTCCTCCAACAAGCCTTTCAAACATCTTCCTGCGGAGGGTTTTATATTGTCTTGTAGGAGGATTCTTGCCAAAACCTTCCAACAACCTTCCAGAGGAAGGTCTCATGGAGCTTCGCGGAGGATTATTTCAAACATTTCTTCAACATTTTTTTAACATCTTCCCGAGGAGGGTTTCAGGACGTTTCTTTTGTGGTTGTTTTTTGCTCCCTCTTTTTTTCAGGATTATTGCTCACAGACCTTCTTAATGTTCTTGAAGGAATCCTTACACCCCCTTCCTGAAACCTTCCCCTGGTGGAAGGTTTTTGGAGGAATCCTGGTAACAAACCTTCCCAACACCTTCAGCAGGATGGTTTTTGGAAGGTTTTTGGAGGATTCATCTTCCTCCTAAAACCTTTTTTAAAGCTTTCCTCATGAAGGTTATTGGGATGGTTTTTTGGAGGATTCCTTCAACAAAACTTCTTAAAACCTTCCTCATGCGTTTTTTTTGGGGGCAGCTTTTTGGAGGATTCCTTTTTTAAACTTCCCTAAGGCCTTCCTCAGGACGGGGTATTCCTATTCAGAAGCCATCCTAAAAAACCTTCACCAGGAATGTTTTTTTATGGATTTTTTTTGAGAAACCTCGAACAACCGTTCAAACAACCTTCCCATGAAGGTTTTTTGATGGTTACTGGACGGTTTTTGGAAGGTTTTTGAAAGATAGTTGGAAGTTTTTGGTTTGAAGGTTTTTCCCCAATCAGAGCTTGCCTCTGTAGGGGTCCTAGCGGATTTAAGGGTAGGTGAGGTGTGCCGCCGATTCGGTGGCCGGGCCCGGGTGCCCGGGTGCCCGGGTGCCCGGGTGCCCGGGTCCGGGTGCCCGGGTGACGGGTGCCAGGTGCCCGGGTGGGTGCCGGGTGCCCGGTCCCCGGGTGGATGATGCGCGGGACATGGGAATAGACACGACCAGACATTTGAAAATCGTTGACAGTTCCACACCAGAACGGCCCAGTAGTAGCCACGAGGCTTTGTCTTCCAGGGCGGGTGCCGGGTGCTGGGTGCCCGGGTGCCCAGTGCCCTGTAGCCCTATAGCCTTGTAACGAGGGGTGCGTGCACATAATTATCTTCAGGGGTTTCGTGAAACTCGACGTTCTTTGAAATGAGGTTCGTCAAGTCTGCTGTTTCAGGAAGCGGATGCCTCTCGCGCTCCCCGGCCCAGTCGGCGCCCCCGGGCCTCGGTTGGCCCATTCGGCGCTGGCGGCGCTCCTGGCGGCTGCAGCAGGCGGCCTCTGGGGATTGGAGCTGCTCGAGTTCGAGGCGCCGGCCCCTGCGGCGGCCCCGGCTCCTCCGCCGCCGCTCCCCGCCTGCGAAGTGCCGCAGTCTTGGGGCTGCCCCGACTGCCCCATGGCACCAGCCTGCCCAGTCTGCCCAGGCTGCCCGACGTCGACGGCTGGCGGGACGGGCGTGGCGGAGCAGGTGGCCGCTCATGTGCTCGCTGGAGGTCTCTGGCGAGCGGCGGCGTGGGCTGCGGAGAGAGGGCGTCGGCCTGCGGCGAGGCGCGGGCCAGTCGGCGGCCGTCCTCCTCGCGATGTCGCTGTGGATGTTCGAGGACGGCGTGGCGTGGTGGAGTGAGCTGAAGCCGGGCCTGACGGGCGGCGTTCAATACCTCGGTGATGCGATGGACCACGAGCGATGGCTGCTTCACCCGTGCACTCGGAAGAAAGACGTCTGGATCATCGCCACGCCCGACCTGGATGAGCTCCCAGGGGCTGGTTCAGCAGGAGTGGGCGAGGACATCGCCGAGACGCACCCGCGGCCAGACAATGGCTCGGAGCCCTCTCGGCCGGAAAGGAAGCTCTATCAGTTTCGATCGTACCCTGGCCGCAAGGAGTTCGGGGGCATGATCAAGTGGGGGTATCGGGCGGCGGCTACCTATGACCCTGGCTCTGAGGTGGCGCCTCCGGCGCCGGACGACGTGCCCCTGCCGACGGACGAGATGATGCCATTCAGCGAGCTGTTCCCGCGCTGGCCTGCGTCAGCTCTCCGGGCGCGGGGCAAGCGGCCCTCGGATGGCTCGTTGCGGGACGCGCTGGGCCTGGATGCCGACGGCGCGGCCGCTCCTAGGGATGTCTATCCGGCCTCCGACAATCGCACTCTTGGGGGGGACTACGACAACTGGAGAGAGAGATTCAAGGGCTGGCACGGCTTGACCCGCGATAGTACTCAGGAGACGTTCTCGCATAGGCCTCTGGAGAGCCCTGGCATCGCCCTGTCCCTGGCGAAGCTCTTCGACCTCCGCGGCTGCGACCCCCGCCAGTGGCCCCTCGTGTGGTTTAGAGAGCGCAAGTTAGATGGCTTGGATCGTACATGCCATGAGATGAGAGTGCTGCATGTTCTGTACTTTGCGGGAGTGTACGATCGATTGAGAGCGTTGGAACCCTCGCATCGGACGGGACCTCGTGCCACCTGGGAGCACGCCGCGCCGCGCATGGGCACTGGGGCGCTCGAGGACCCCGTCAGCCCGGCCCTCCAGTCGTATGCTGCGCGGCTGGCCGAGGATCGGGCTGACATGGCTGCGGCTCTGGGCCAGGGCGGCGCGCGGGGGCTCCGCGACGTCCCCGCTGCGGCGGCGGAGGCCGCCGACGCGGGCGACGCCGCGGCTGGCGCTAGAGGTCGGGGCGCGCGGGGGTCATGGCGGCGGGGGGCGCGAGGGCGGCGGCCGAGGCCGGCGCGGATTCGCGCCCGCTGCCGCCGATCCGCGTTGATCGGCAGCACCGCCGAGGGGACCCGCCCCTCCCTCGGCGGGCAATCGCGGGGCGCTGGGGCACCTTCCCCAGGTGGCCGTCCGCGGAGGGACTTCTTCCCTCTGCCTGTGCCCGCTCTGCCTGCAGGCCCTGCCGCTTCGACTCGCTCGGCAAAGAAGGCTTGGGGCCGCGCTCGGCGGCGTGCAAAGATGGTGCTGGAGGCGGTCCACGGACTGAACTGGCTTGCTGGCTACGACGCCTGGGGCCCTTCTCAGGAGCCTGCGTCGCCTGGAGTTTTGACGCCCGAGGTGATGGCCCGCGTGGAAGGCCTGGTCAAGGACTGGGGGCCCATGCCTGAAGCCCTCTTGGGGCGGGGGGCCCTCCGAGACCTCCTGCGCGGCCAGTCCCTGTGCGAGCTGGACACTGGCCCCGCGAACCTCGCGGCCTTCGACGCCGACCTGGTGTCTCTGCCGAACTACGTGTCGGGGCCCCCTCCAATTGAGTCGCTGCTGGACGCCGAGGTCTCTCGATATTTGGAGGCCCATCATGAGCTGATGCTGCGACCCGTGACTGACTTGGAGAGTATCGAATCCGAGACACGAGAGATCGCGCCGTACACCGATAGGAAGCTGCTTTACAGTGAGAAGGCCTACCGCGGCTTTGTCAGACGGCTCTGGGATCTTGGTATGCTGGATGCCGCCCTCAGGTCCATGGAGAGGATCGGGGTCTTCTTCGTCTGGAAGAGCAACAAGACACGCCTCAGGCTGATCATTGGCGCTCGGAGAAGCAGCTGTTGGTTCCGTGCCCCATCCAGGCGTCCGTTTGTGTACTTCGGAGGCCTTCGCGAACGTCGAGGTTGGCGATGGCGTCTTCGCGGGGCTGGAGAGGGTCAGACTTTACCTCGGGATGGCGGACGTGAAGGACTGCTTCCGCCGCCTCCAGGCCCCTGCCTGGCACAGGCCCTACTTCGCCTGGGCGGAGGTGCCCGCGCGGGTGCTGGGGTTGCGCGAGCTGGACGGAGTGCAGCTGAAGCCCACCGACGCAGCGTGGCCCACCTCCGCCTCCATGTGCATGGGGTTTGCTTGGTCGTTGTATTTCGCCCAGAAGACAAGCGGGCGGCTGGCGGCTGCGGCGCCCAGCTTGCGCGGGTCGGCGTTGCTGCGCGACAGGTCGCCCCCCCTGGTGCTGGCCGAGGGCCGCCCCCGCCACTGCGTGTACGTGGACAACCTGGGCGCCTACGCCCGGGGCCGGGGCCTGGCCCAGAACGCGGCCCGCGAGTGGGAGGCGAGCTTCGCCGACCACGGGCTGGAGCTCCACGGCGGAGAGGTGGTGAGCAGGGGCATCCGCGCCCTCGGCTGCCGGCTTGGCGGCCAGCGGTTGCGGGCCGCCACCGCGCCCGAGCGTTTTTTGAAGGTGTGGGCTGCGAGTGAGGAGATACTCCGCCGGGGCAAATGTGCAGGTTGGGCTCTTGAATGTTGGCTGGGTCATGCTACCTTCCTGAGTCTGATCCAGAGGGGCCTCTTGTCAGTCTTCCACACGTGCTATCGCTTTTGTCGTGTCCATTACTCGGAGGTCTTTCCGCTGTGGCCCTCCGTTCGTGATGAGATCCGAGCCTGGAAAGGGCTGATGGTCTTTCTGATTCAGGACTGGGGGCGTTGTCGGAGTGAGCTGGTGACTGAAAGTGCCAGTAAGCAGGGATATGGAGTCTGCGCGTCGTTCTGGCGCCAGGCGCAAGTTTCTCCCGTCGGCCGTGTTCTGGAGAGGAGCAGGTTTCAGTTCAATGGCCACAGCGCTCGCGAGTCGGCCCTCAGCGCGGCCGGCCTCGCTCGGAACCCTCGGTCTGGTGCCTGGGAAACCCCTGGGCCTGAGGGGGCGAGAGCGCCGATTTTTCCGTCGCGCCCGATCTTCCTGAGGTCCCAGCGGGGCTCCTCGACAAAAGCTCATGGACCCCTCGCGTCTGGGGCAAGTGGAGTTTTGCCGAGGGCATCCTTTTTCTCGAGGCTCGTGCCTTGGGGCTGGGAGTCCGTCGTTTTGTTCTGAACTCCCCTGGGTGTCGCTGTAGGGCTCTGATGCTTAGCGACAACATGAGCATCGTCTTGGCCTTTGCACGGTCCCGCTCACGCGAATTTCGGCTCCTCATTCACATCCGTCGGGCCGTGGCATATAGCCTTTCTCGTAATGTAGCTTTCTTTTTTAGGTGGATTCCAAGTGCATTGAATTCAGCGGACGAGCCCTCGCGTCGACACGACCCCGATTTTCCTAAGAGGCCGACTGCTTGCTGCTCTTGCCCTTCTCCTCCGTGTCCAGTTCGGCTCAAAGCTTTCTCGGCTGCCGCCTCGCCCGACAGCACCCCGGACTCGTGTTCTGTCTCGACCAGTGCCCCAGGATGTGCCGAGGCCGAAGCGCCGGCGAGCCTGGGCGCCCCCTTCGAGCGCCAGAGCTGGGGACAAGGCTCTCGGGCCGACGACGCCGAGACGGTCTTCCCGGACGTGGGGCCCGCCAAGCGACTTGGCGCGCCGGCTGCCGACGACGGGGCCGGGCCGGCTGGGCGGCCTTGCCGCCCTTGGGCCGGCGGTGCTGTCCCCGGCTGGCTCCAGCTCGAGCGGCAGCTCCTCGTCCGATCCCAGGCCCGACGCCGTGGGCGGAAGGGCGAGGGGGCTGGCGACGCGGTCGCGGCGGCGGCTGTCGAGGCATCTGGGGGCGGCGCTGGGCATCGAGAAGGAAGGCCTGAGCTTGCTGGGGGGCAAGACGGTGACGGCCAACGTGCGGCGCTACTACTCGAGCCACCTCCAGGACTTCGAGACGTCCGCAGAGGGGCTCGGCCCAACGCTCCCGGGCGACGGCGACGGGGACGACTGGCTCGTGAAGTTCGTCAGAGCGAGCTTCCTCTCTGGCGGGCAGCCGGACTATGGGGGGAAGGGGCCGTCGGCCTTTGCCGACCGCCACCCGGCCTTCATCAGGGCTGGCATGCGGCGGCTCCCCCGGGCCTGGCGCTGCCTGCGGGGCTGGCGCCGCCTTGCGCCTGGCCGCTCCGGGCGTCCTCTGCCTCAGGCGGTGTGGAAGGCGATTGCCGCCGACCTCTGCCTGCGGGGGCGCAAGTTGACGGCCGCGGCCGCCCCCCTGGGCGTGTGGGCCTACTTGCGGCCCCGGAGATTCGGCCCGATAACCTGCCCCCCCCCCCCCCTCGCGCGGGAGATATCGAGGCGCTGGTCTCCTATCATCTACCCGAAGGGCATGGGCGTCGCCGCCGACAGGGGGGCGATGGGCGGCAGCGTGGTGCTGGGCAGCAGGTGGCAGCTGGAGCTGACGCCGCTGTGGTCTCCGCTGACGGGAGTTCCCAGCGACGGGCCTGTCTGGGCGTTCGCGCGCCCAGCGCTGGTAAGGAAATTCAAGGGGGCGTGCAGCCAGCTAGGCGTCTCAGCGGTGCCCTGCTTGGTGCGGCACAGCAGCCCTAGCGTCGACAGGGACCTGCAGTTGCGCCCTCGCGACGAGGTGTGCGAGAGGGGGCGCTGGGCGCGCCGCAAGTCGGTCGTTCGGTGCGGGGGGGCGGCGACGCTGAGCAAGGCCTGGCACTGCCTCCCTCTGGCGACCCGGGCGAGTTGCGGGGCGCTCGACGCGCGCCTCGAGGAGCTGCCGCTGCGAAGTGCCAGCCGCGTAGCTGGCCACGCGGAGCGGCGCTGAAAGGCAATTATCTCGGCGATTTTCTCTTGGGCGATGGCGGGGTCGCCCACGCCGGCCGCCGACGAGGTGCGCCCGCGCGGACCTGGGGCGTCCGAGAGGGGCCCCAAGTTGACCTAACTCGTCCGCCTGTGCTCAGATGTATACGCCAAGACGCCAGCTAGGGCCGTCTCTTAGCAGCTATGTTCGCCCCCCCTTGTCAGACGTTCTCTGTTGCCAGAGACCGCGCCGCGGTCGTGCGAACGCCCCGGCATCCGTGGGGGGCCCCCTGGTGTAGCACGCGGGATGCGGTAAAGTTGGTGCAGGGAAGCGCGTGTCTCAGCGCGTGTCTGAATATTATAAAGTATGTGCATGCTCGTAAGTTTCCGTGAATTCTCGAGAATCCAAACTCGTCTAAGATGTGGGTGGTCCCGCAGGTGCAAGCGATGCGTTCTTGGGAAGGCGTCGAAGTGGTTGTAAGCGACTTTTGCCAGTTCGGTGCTCCGTGGAGGAAACGCATTCGTTTTATTTGCGGAAGAATCCCCCGAGAAGACCTGGTCAGTTCAAGGCGTCTTTGCACAGGTAGAGGGTTTTTTTGCAGTATGACTGGATGTAAGCATCACCACTTAGGAGGATCCGCAATGACACGTAGAGCCCAACCTTACCCGAGGAGGTTGTGTGAATCGCTCGCTCACTCGCTGCTGCGTCGTATTCGAAACACCATGATCAACTATTCCGATGTTGCGCTCGCGACCCGCCGTCGCCCAGACCCTCCTTGATTCGAGAACTTACCATTTTCGGGTGTTTTCGGGACTTTTTAAGGCTCTGTCCAGGGGTGCTGGCCCAATCCCTGTGGCGGCCGGGTCGCAGCCGCCAAGGCGCGCGCGGTTTCTACGAGACATATCTTATCCGCTGGAAAAGAAGCCCCGTTGATAGAGGGGTGCGTGCACATAACTATCTTCAGGGGTTTCGTGAAACTCGACGTTCTTTAAAGCGAGGTTCGTCCGCGACGTCTCTCTCTCGAGTCTGCTGTTTCAGGCCCACCCTCCCGCGCCGGGACTTTTTTTATGGCTCCGTCCAGGGGTGCTGGCCCAATCCCTGTGGCGGCCGGGTCGCAGCCGCCAAGACGCGCGTGGTTTCTACGAGGCATATCTTATCCGCTGGAAAAGAAGCCCCGTTGATAACCCTATACCGCTATCGCCCTATAGCCCTTTAGCCCTATAGCCCTATTGTAGCCTTATAGCCCTATAGCCCTGTAGCCCAATAGCCCAACAGCTCCATGCCCCCAAGCAAATATTGATTTGAGTTTTTCTCCGGTATCGTTGGAAGGTTTTGTTTGGGAAGGTTTCTGGCAAGTTTCTTGAAAGGCTCTTGGCCGGATTTTGTATTGTATTCGGCGGTGCCGATAATTTTTGGAAGGTTTCCTGGAAGGTTTTTGGAAGGTTTTGGACGGTTTTTGGCAGGATTTTGATAGATTTTTGGAAAGTTTTTGGAAGGTTGTTGTAAGGTTTTGGGCAGTTTTTTTTTGGAAACGGCTGTCAACAAAAACCTTGCTCGCCCCCCCCCGCCCCTCCTCCCGCCCGGAACCCAGAAAAAACCGCCGAACAACCTCCTTCAGGAAAGTATGTGGAAGTTGTGTGTTGAAGATTTTTTTGTTTTTGTTTTTGTGTGAGATCTTCAAACCGTCCTCTCGAAGGTTTCTGGAGGGACTTCTCGTAAGAACCTCCCTACAACCTCCCTCGCGAAGGTTTTTGGTAGTTTTTCAAGAGGAAGCCATCCTGAAACCTTCCCGAGGAAGGTTTTGATTTGGAAGGTTTTTGAGAGGACCCCCTCTTGAAATTCTCCGCTTTTGGAAGGTTTTTGGAAGGTTTTAGCGCCCGCCGCCCGCCCCCAGCCGCCCGTTCGCCGTTCTTCCCCCTTCAACACGACGCCCAGTACTCAACAGCGTCCGTTTCCAACGCCAAAACCAGTACTCAACAACCTCCGTCTCCAACATCACACGCAGTGTTCCGCAGCATCTCTGACACCTTCCAGAGGAAGGTTTAGAACGGTTTTGGGAGGACTCTTTTAAAACCTTCTGAAATCCCGCTCCGCCCGCTCGCCGCCGGCCCGCCGTCCGCCGACCGCCCGCCGTGCCCGCCCCCCGCCGCCCGTTCGCCGTGCTTCCGCGTTCAACGTGACTGACACCCAGTACTTCAACGGCTCCGTTCAACGTGACTGACACCCAGTACTTCAACGGCTCCGCTACGCAGTTCAGCATCCGTCTCCAACACAAAGGTTAATATTCAACAGCCTCCGTCCCAAACCCAGTGCTCAACGGCATCCGTCTCCAACGCAACACCTAATGCTCAACGGCCTCCGTCTCCAACGCAAGCCGGTACTCAACAGCCTCCGTCTCCAACGCAGCACCCAATATCAGACGGCATCCCGCTGCAAGAGAGAATAAGCTTTAGGCGGGCGGTCAATTAAAGCCCCGATCCGCCCGCCCGCCCGCCGCCCGCCCCCCGCCCGCCCCCCGCCGCCCGTTCGCCGCGCTTCGGCATCTGTTTCCAACGTAGTACTCAATACTCAACGGCCTCCGTCTCCAACACAAACTGGCACCCAACAGCCTCCGTCTCCAACGCAACTCCCAGTATTCAAGAGCATCCCGCTGCAAGAGAGAATCCTTAAGAGTTCAACGGAAATCACGATCCGCCCGCCCGCCGTTCGCCGCCCGCCCACCCGCCGCCCGCCCGCCGCCCGCCCGCCGCGCCCGTTCGCCGTGCTTCCGCGCGCAACGCACACCCAGTATTCCACAACGTCTGTCCCCACCACCAAACCCAATAATCAACAGCCTCCGTCCCAAGCACAAAACCCAGCACTCAACGGCATCCGTCCCCAACACAACACCCACTGCTCAACGGCCTCCGTCTCCACCACAAGCCGGTTCTCAACAGCCTCCGTCTCCAACGCAACATCCAGTATTCAACAGCATCCCGCTGCAAGGGAGACGCCTTAGGCGGTCGATTAAAGCGCCGGTCCGCTTGTTTTGTTTAGGATTCTGCAAACCTCGGGAGTTTTTTTTTGTGAGGATTTCTCTGAAAATTTGACCCAAATACCTTCCAAAAACCCTTCCCCAGGAAGGGTTTTTGGAAGGTTTTTGGGGGATTCTTCAAAACCATCCCAAAACCTTTTTTAGGCAGGTTTTTGGAAGGTTTTAAGATTCCCCTCGCAACCTTCGTAAGACCTTCCTCAGCAAATGTTGTGGGACGATTTTTGGAAACTTATCTTAAAAGCCTTCAAAGAACCTTTTTCTGGAAGGTTGTTGGAAGGTTTTCTTTGGAGGAGTCCTGTTAAACACCTTCCAAACACCTTCCCTTGGATGGTTTTATTTTGGTTAGGAATATTTTTTAGAAGGTTTGCGGGCGTTGCTTTTGGAAGGTTTCTGGAAGGTTAGTGGGATTTTTTTTTGCAGGTGTTTGGAAGATTTTTGGCAGATCGTTGAAAGATGTTTGGATTTTTTCTTATTTTTTTTGCAATGTGTCTGAAAGGTTTTTGGACAGTTTTTGAAATGTATTGTGCGATCTCGCTAAAATCCGGAAGGTTTTTGGAAGGTTTTTGGGAGGTTTCTGGAAGGAAGGTATTTCGAAGGTTTTGTTGGAAGTTTGTTTGTGCGTTTGTGGATGTTATTCTAAAAGGTTTTTGGAAGGTTTTTGGGAGTTTGTTGGGAGGATTTTGGAAGGTTTTTGTACTCATTGATGTGGTTTCTCCCAGGACTTGTGCAGCGTGCGGGTCATTATTCTGCTTGCCAGTATCTCCCATGTGCACTGTGCATAAATAATGGCTCGAAGTTCTGATCTGTAGGAGTTCCTCCTGGCTCTTTTCGCGGCCGTCAGAGACCTCGCGACCCTCGGCCTCCACTGGCAGACTGCCGCTGCGGCCGCACAAAGTCCCAGCCTGCCTGCGATCCCTGCCTGTCCAGAGCTGGTCTGGGC